CAAATCATGTTGGCTGTGTAAATCTCTCGTGCGTGCGTGCTTCGGTCACGCCGCGCTTGTTTTCCTAAGGCTGTTGCGTGTCCAGTTTTCTTCCGGATTTTTGGTTCTCGTCTCTCTCCCTGCGGCTGTTGTGGTCTGCTAGGCAAGAAATATGCAGACCCGAGCGATCCTCTTGCGGCCAGCAGGAAATGTTTCTGCCGTAGCGATTCAACTTGACGGGGGCGTCACACAACATGCTTGTTCAGGTCACGTGTGCGGCGAAGACGATGGAGAGTGCCCTGATTTTCCGATACCTGTGATGAAGATTCTACAGTATGTATAACCTCACGATGATACTGGCCTTTGTAGATTGGGGTTTCCAACCCCGCGTTCTAGGCCGCACAACCATGGTCTTACCTGGCCCGGCAATTAAAATAATTTTTGGCGCGAAGCGCCAAAACATGAAAGAGGCGTTTTGGCGCGCGAAGCGCGCAATATTTCTTTNTGATTCAATGGTGACCCCCATACGAAGAGCATTCCATTCAAGATCACATTTTAACAAAACCGAGAGATTGTTGATCTGCGTTGATGGAAGCGTTGCCCGCGATATTTTTAGTCGATGGGCTGCAACCCGCACGCCTGTGCTTATGCCTTTGGCGCCTATGTGTAGTGCGCCAGACGTATAGTTCCTGTATCTCATGTGCCTCCTTCGCTACGGTCCGTCAATAGTATTTCAGCGTTCCGAGTCAAGTCGAAAGTTAATTGCATGATGACACTGTTCCATAGCAGAATTTTACTTGATGTCCCATTTTTCAATAATCGATGTCATTTTTGTTTGTTGCCATGCGCCGTCCGTACGAAACGCTGAACTGTTCCGTCGACGTCCCTGTAGATACTCAAGCAGCACGCCAGAACCACGTGGTCAATGATAGTCGACGTAGGACACACCAGGCTGGCTCTAACTTTGAGCGAAGTATACGGCGGTGACGTCTTCACCGAGGACCTCGCATATGAGGTAGCGTTCGCGAGTCATGCCATCTATTTCGGGTTGAAACGATAGACCGCCGTTTGTTCACCATCCCTAAAGAGTGCCGACCAGAAATTCATTGGCCATTGGATCGTAGTTATGTGTGTTTCTGAACTCCACTTGCTGTACTGTGTGAAGAACCCTTGTTGCTGAAAGTACATAAATATGTATGCCTACAAATTGGCTGGTTGCTCGATCCGAGGATGGATGCTAGTTTTTAGTGCGATTGATCGATACGCCTTTATGCAGAAGGATTGACGACGATGACATCGAGATGAAGCGTTTCACGGATCGTCCATAGACCCTCGTCCCTATAGCACCTCACCATACTGCTGTATGTCCGATGCTTGTGTTCTTCCCCCGTTGTATGTACTTCATTTCCTTCGAAATCTGTTTTCCCTACCGATCATCACCAGTGCGACGAACATGCTTCGCATGGAGCCCACGTCTGCAGCGTGCTTGGAACAAGTTGCTAAGTGTCGTCCCGAGGGTTCTTCACGACTCTACGCGGAGCTTGAAGGTCGCCTGAAGATCTTCGACAAGGGCAACCACTCTATGTTCAAGGGGCTAGAAGACGGCCACAACAGCCTGGGAGTTAGTTGCATTTGATTGGTTGGTGCTGTGTACAGCACGGGTGGTGTTGTAGCCGCGGGTGTAGAGTGGCGTGATGGTATTCGAGGACCTAGTTAGTTGTGCTCGATCAATCTAGTCATCGCCTATCGTCGTCCGAGGAAAATTGATATATTAAAAGTACGGGACACCACTTTTACAGAAGGAAATTACCGGGAAACCCAGTACCTCCTTTCGGAAGTTGTGCATGTGCTCGCTCTTGAATTACAAACAATGGGGAGAGGTAGGGGAGGGGGGCTCTAGTATAGTGTTAGTGGAATGTGATGGACGTGTGTGCTGTTCTTGGTACTTCCGGCATGTTTGAGGTAGCATATGCCTGGTCTGCGCCTCGATGTAAGAGTTTTATGCCCCGCCGGGGTTATTTCTCAAAACCCCCCGGGTTCGGGTGTTTGCATACAACATATCATCTTGGTTGTAGCGTTGTGTGTACTTGAGATACGGTTGATATCTAGATGAAAATGAGGTGCCTTCATGTTGTTCGACCTCCAATTTAGTTCTACTAGTACCCGTGCCCAAGGCCTTTCTGTTGATGTATCAAACGCTACGATCCCGGGGATCGTGAGTTATGTTTCTCAGAACCTTAGCGGCACTTGCCTGACTCAAGAACACCTTTTCAGCGAAACCCCATGTGTGTCCTTCACCGAGGTACGACTGCATGGAAATGCAATCGTGGTATTGGATGTTCGCCGCACTAAACCTCTCACTTCCTGCTATGTTGTTATCATTGTGTACGCATGAATACTTGCTGCAGTGTGTGGGCTGCAGCGTTACGCTTCACCACGAGACCCGGGCGCCCAGTTGGAGAGCTCCTGCACTCCGATGTCATATCCGAGGATAGCGCCAAGATAGCATTCTCCCCGCACCTCCAAGGTGACAACACAAAACCTTTTTCACGTTCGTCGTGTCTATTCTGACACCTTCCTTCATATGACGTCACAACTTTGAAGGTTTCCTTGGTGTCGCGCTCTGCAGTCGTAAATAGCAATCCAAGTCCTCTACCCCCTGCACGCAAAAAAAGGCCTTTGTATGTTATTGAAGATGTCCACAAGAGCCGTTTTATCCTTGATTAACTTTACGGCAATTGACAAAATGGGGTATACCCCGCGTGTTTGGGCACAAAATGGGGTACACCGTCTTTTTGGTGCGGGGCGCAACGCCTGACGCCGGGTAGGCGCCTTTAAACCGCCTTCTAGCGCTTCAACCCCATGCGCCAGGACCTTCGAGTTTCTCTTTAACACGAAAGGCTCTGGTACTACTCGTCCGCACAAACCTCTCCTCGCCCTCTGTAGGTTATTAACTCACGCTAGTACTCCTAATTCTTACGCATCCATGGTGAGCCCTTCCGTGAGCGCGCACATATAGCCCCTTCTTCCAAACACCTATGCTAGTGAATGCTACGATTTTTCTTAAACCCCACGTCATGTACGTATGTGAAACACAGGGGGCGACGACGAGGCTGAAGGCAACATCATGCACAAGGGCCTCGACGCTGGTGCCGTCGGGTTCCTGTCGGACAGCGACAACGAGGAGGGCGACGACGCCGGGCCGGATGGGCTCGGCGACCAGGTCGAGGGGAACGAGCAAGAAGGCGACGGCGACGAGTCGGTGTACGGAAGGGGCACAACCGCGAGGGCCAGCAGGAGCAGGTCGACGGCAATGGTGAAGAAGGGAACGAACAAGTCGACGGCAACGGCGAACAAAGCGGCGACCAGGGCGGCGACCTCGAGTCGGGGCAGGACAAGGAGGCAGTTAGCCGGAAGGCAACAACGTTACCCGTACGGCTGACTAAATCGTTCATTCAGTGCTGGGTAGTTTCTCGCCGTGCATGATGTCGTATCCCAGTCCACAGTTTTCTTCACTCTTGTGTGACGAGATGGTCCTACAGGAGGCGTTTTTTATCAGTTTACACAGGGGATCCCCAGGGGGAGCGGTATGAGACAACACTTTCCTTGTTTAGGTGAAGGCAAAATGATGAGTGAAGACTTGTGGGAGGAGATGCAGGGGCTTTCGTTGGCGAGATGTGCGTTGATGAATATCCATCGCAAGCAGAGAGATACAGAGTACAGACCAAGATTTGCGCATGACGAACGCTTTTTTTCATGCCAAAAGTAACGCATGTGGGATAATCTTGGAATTGAATGAGAGGGCGTGGGCGGGGGGCTGCGCGTTGTAAGCGCGTGCGTGTAGCGTGTCACGTACAACACGCGTTCTTTTTGTTCATTCAGTAATATAAGATGGATCTAATATAAACCTGTCTCCTTAGCGTTTGTGCAAATTTGCGTAGTGTACCCTATACAGTGGGGTTTCAAAACCAGAAACGAAAAGGCTCTGGGGGTCTCTTAAGCATGCAGAGAGGGTACAGACAGATTACCCAGGCTTTCATTTTTTCTTGATCCCCCGCAGGGGATATGGAAATATGGACGAAGAACCCTCTGAGGGACTTGGAAGCCACAACCCCCCTAGCTGGCTGACCTTACCAACCCTCTGGAGGTCTTGTCAGCCTGCAGAGGCTACGAACAAAAGATCCTCTAGAGGCTTTTCATTTTTCTATGCCCCCAATAGGGTACAAGGAAATATGGGCAGACAACCCTCTAAGGGACTTGAACACACAAGCCCCTAAGAGGGCTGAGTTTGGCAACCCTCTGGAGTTTTTTTCAGCCTGCAGAGGCTGCAAACAGAATATCCTCTGGAGGGTTTTCATTGTTTCTTCGCCCCCCATAAGGTATAAGGAATTTTTCCAGTTAACCCTCTGAGGGTCTGAAACACACAAAACCCTCTAGAGGGATGAACTTGGCAACCCTCTGGAGTTTTTTTCAGCCTGCAGAGGCTGCAAACATAATATCCTCTGGAGGGTTTTCATTTTTTTCGGCCCCCTATGGGATATAAGGAGCTTTTCTAGTCAGCCCTCAGAGGGACTTTGACACGCGACCCCCCTAGACTAGAGGGTTGGATTTGGCAACTCTCTAGAGGGTGCATAACCCTCTTGAGGAAACAGTATCAATACCCTCTAGAGGGTCTGTTCTAAAGTCCCTCGGAGGGTTGACCAGAAAGATTCCTTATACCGGGGGGTCGAACAAAAACGCAAACCCTCCACAGGGTTGACTTCATCCTCCCTGTAGTGGGTTTTTCGATGAGCCGATTGGCCACCTGTGATGGTTTGCCTGGGAGGAAATCGATAGAGTAAACGTGCCAATTAAGAACCACCTAAGCCCCCCC